CGGTGGACGGCGGCGCAAAGTTGGTACGAGATTGCACTTGCTGAGAGACCGAACGATGTCGAGACCCAGATCAATCTCCTCACTTGTTTGAAGGAATCTGGTCAATACGGTGAGTCAGTACGTGCATATCTCACGAAGACAAGCTAACGAAGAATCCAGACTCCATCCTCAACTATGTGGACGGCTTCCATGCAACTAACTCGCTTCCGAGCAGCACGTTACCTTTCGCAGCAGAAGCCGCTTGGTCTACTGGCAAATGGGAACAACTCGAACGCCTTCTTACTGCTACCGGTAGCGCTGATTCCAGCCTCTTCGCGGACTTCAATGTGGGGATAGGCAGAGCGCTATTGGCATTGCGTCACAACAGCCGCCCAGACTTCCAGGACATCATTGAAGAGCTACGAGAACTTCTGGCGAAGAGCATGTCTCCATCAAGCACAACGTCTGTGCAGGCATCGCATGATCATCTGGTCAAACTGCATGCACTGTACGAGGTTGAGACTATAAGCGGTATGGGTAGTGGGATTGTAACAGACCGCGAAACCATTCTCGAAAACTTGGACAGACGCTTGGACATTATTGGGGCGTACACATCGGACAAGCAGTACCTTCTGGGACTACGTCGCGCCGCAATGACACTTTCTCGGTAAGAATATGTTGGATGGCATTCGTTACGGACACTAACATAGAGCAGCATCGAATTTGCAAATCTTGACGTTGCTTCCGCATGGCTCACGACCGGAAGGCTGGCTCGCAAGGGAGGCTTCATGACAACAGCTTTCAATTCTGTACTGCACGCCGAGCGACTTGGAGACAACGCGTCGAAGATTGAGTACTCGAAGCTGCTCTGGAAAGAAGGCCACCATCGCAAGGCGATACAAAACCTCCGTGGCGCAATAGACAGCAACGCGTTTCAGCAAGAAGACACAGTGCCGATTAATGTCTCCGTAACCACAGCCGGTCGAGGCGAAGAGCATTCGATGAACAAGGTTAAGTGCCATGCTCAACTATTGCTCGCTAAATGGCTAGACCGCGCGGGTCAGACACAGTCAATGTCCTTGAAGGAGGAATATGTGACTGGAGTGCAAACCTATCCTCGCTGGGACAAAGGTCACTACTACTTGGGTCGATGGTATCTCAAGCTACTCGAATCAGAGAAGCAACAGCCGATAACAAAACAGAGTTCCGAATACCTTGCTGGTAGTCTCATCAAGTTAGTCATCGAGAACTTTGTCCGCTCTACGGTATACGGGACGAAGTACTACTACCAGACCCTGCCTAAGATACTTACGCTGTGGTTGGACATGGGTATGGAAGTTATGAGCAGCACACCCAAAACCGCCAAAGACAAGGAGTTTCACGAGCATCGGCTTAACTATCTCGATCACATCAACAAATACCTCAAGCGCTACGCCGGAGAGCGGATGCCTGCTTTCGCATGGTACACCGCTTTCCCGCAGATCATCACACGCATCAGCCATCCGAATAAGAGCGTTTGGGATGCTCTTCAGACGATCATCATACGAGTCGCGTCGACATATCCGCAACAGGCGCTGTGGGCTTTGCTCGCTGTTCTTCACTCTACGCAGGATGACCGCAGGGCCCGGGGCGCTGTTGTATTGCAACGACTACGCGTAAGTTCTCGATCTGGTCAAGATCAGAAATCAGCTAACAAGAAGAAGGACGCATCGAAGCGCAAAGGCGCTGCTATCGATCTCAAAGCCCTCATCATTCAAGGGCAGCGGCTTACTGACGCACTACTGGCGGCTTGTGATGCCCCCATAGAGTCACGGATAGCACACGTGAGTCTAGCAAGGGACCTGGGATTCAACCACAAGCTTGCTCCTACGCCGCTGGTCGTTCCTATCGAAGCCAATCTACTTCCAAATCTGCCTGCTGGCAACGACAGCCAAACCATCCGTCGTCACAACCCATTCCCAGCCGACGCCATCACCATCCAATCCTTCGACGACGACGTACTAGTCCTATCCTCTCTCCAACGCCCCCGCAAGCTAAACGTCCGTGGCTCAGACGGCCGCTCCTACGGCCTCCTCTGCAAGCCCAAAGACGACCTCCGCAAAGACCAACGCCTCATGGAATTCAACGCCATGATCAACCGCGCGCTCCAAAAAGACATCGAATCCAGCAAACGCCGCCTGTATATCAAAACCTACGCCGTCACGCCCCTCAACGAAGAATGCGGCGCAATCGAATGGGTCGAAGGCCTCAAGCCCATGCGCGACATCATCCTGCGCTTCTACCGCCAAATGGCCATCCCGATCGACTACGGCGAAATCCGCCTCCTCCTCAACGAAGCCTCGTCGTCCCCGTCTAAGATACCCATCTTCACTGAACGCATCCTCGGTAAATTCGTGCCTGTGTTACATGGATGGTTTGTGGAAACGTTTCCTGAGCCGGAAGCTTGGTTCGCGGCACGTCTGCGGTATACAAGATCCTGCGCTGTGATGAGTATAGTAGGCCACGTCCTCGGTCTGGGAGACCGACACGGCGAGAACGTGCTATTGGAGCAAGGCGACGGCGGAACTTTCCACGTCGATTTCAACTGCCTCTTCGACAAAGGTCTCACCTTCGAAAAACCCGAACTCGTTCCCTTCCGCCTCACGCACAACATGGTCGATGCCATGGGCCCACAAGGCGTCGAAGGCCCCTTCCGCAAAGCCGCAGAACTGACCTACAAACTGCTCCGCCAGCACGAAGACACGCTCATCACTATCCTGGAAACTTTTGTGCACGATCCTACGGCCGATTTCCTGGGAGGCAAACGTCGTAAGAAGATTGTTGGCGTCCCGGATACGCCGCAGGAGGTGCTGGATATTACTAGGACAAAGGTGAATGGGTATCTCAAGGGGGAGAGTGTGCCGCTGAGTGTCGAGGGCTATGTTGATGCGCTTATTGCTATGGCGGTGGATCCGATGAATTTGGCGAGTATGTATATTGGGTGGTGTGCTTTCTTTTAGTGTTGTTGTGTTTCGTTTTAAAAGTCGGGGTATGCGGGGAAGTGTGTATGTCAGTATCGTTAGTTCGTGTTTTACTAGATGAGGTATTAGCAACGCAGTATGTTCTTCCTGACCTCATTCGCCCTCACAACATGCGCAAGCCCGTTAACAATCCACTCTTACACCCTTCAGACAAGACTCCGTGCATATACAATTGGCATTACAATACGTAATTGTAAAATAAAGGTAGGTACTCCCATTCTCTTTGGAACCCGGATAAAAAAAAAGAGACCAACGCCTGTAACAAAAAACTCGTTAAGAAAAAGAGGTTGATGCTACCCAAAAGGGACTCGCTCGAGCGGATATTCAGTCGTGTAAGCATCGTCTTCGTGCGATCGTCTCTTCCGTACCCTCGGACCCAAGCTTGCTCTTGCCTCCATCAGATCAAAGCCGTAGCATGTCTGTCATTCGCATCCATAGCATAACCACTGCCCCCCATGTGCCTGACAATCTCAGTCCAAAATGTCCATTTCCTCTTTCTCCCTCTCTCTCTTCCAACTACTCCTCTATTCTAGCAGCACTTCCCGCCCATACCCGCATTTCCGTCACCTTGCCCGCTAACATCGACCTTGGGGGCAGCCGTCTGATCCGTCCTGGCGGTATCGATAAGGCGCTTCTTGATGTCGCCGGCGAGGCTGTAGAACGCCTGGTCGACGTTGATGTTGCTCTTGGCCGAGACCTCGAGGAAGGGGATGCCGAGTTCGTCGGCGAGGGCCTGGCCCTGTTCTGTGGAGACGGCGCGCTTCTCTTCCCAGTCGCACTTGTTGCCGATGAGGATCTTGTTGACGCCTTCCGTGGCGTGTTGCTCGACGTTGGAGAACCATGTGCGGATGTCTGGATGGTGTTAGTCGTTTGTTTCTTGAGGGATACCTGTCTGTTGGGCTGGGAGGGTAAAAGGTGTGTATGGGCGGCGGCACGTACTGTTGAAGCTCCTTTCATCCGTGACGTCGTAAACTAGCAAGATACCCATGGCACCTCTGTAGTACGCCGTGGTGATGGTCCGGAAGCGCTCTTGACCAGCGGTATCCCATATCTGCAGCTTCACGCGCTTGCCGTCGAGCTCGATGGTGCGGATCTTGAAGTCGATGCCGATGGTGGTGATGAACGAGGGCGTGAACGAGTCTTCGCTGAAGCGCAGCAGGCAGCACGATTTGCCCACGCCGGAGTCGCCTATGAGGAGTAGTTTGATCTACGCGGGGGAGAGTGTTAGTGTGGGTCTGTGTATAGGCGGTGGAGGGGCGTTCAGGGTCCAGCATGTATGCGGAAGCTGGGCAGGCGCATGTCAGAAAGAGGCATAGGGCGAAGCTTACGAGAAAGTCATAATTCCTGGAGCCAGCCATCTTGATATGGAGTCGTGGGGTGCGTTATCGAGCGGAGGTGGTTGCGGAGTTGGCGCCCGCCGGTTTGGGGTGTGCGGTGGAGCTGGCGGTGGTTGCGTGGTTGGGGAAGAATGGCGGTGATAGACTCGAGCCTGATGATATGTTGTATGCGTGGGAACAGGCGGGCTTGGGGTGAATGTTGCTGTGTGGTTAACAGCAGGCAGCGAAGTAAACGGCGTGGGAGCGAGTTCACAGGTGCTGGCCAACGTTGGACGTTAGCGCCAATAGTCCGCACGGGCTTCACCACCTTCGTCACTGCAGCTGTCGTCTGCGAGTGACGAGCGGCGGCTGGCTTGGTGGCAACTGCGCATCTGCCTTGACTCGGCTGTCACTACCGGCATCACCACCCAGCACACGAGACACGGTCAGGTGCTGGCGTTGAAGAGCCTCATTTACTAGGTTTTGTTTTGGCCTCGGTAGGTATCCACGCGATACTTGTTGAGCTAGTCTTGGATAGTAGACATCTGATCTGTCATGTTCCGCTTACAACTACTGAGAACACGGGTCTATAATTACAAGCTTCTTCGTATATTTGTATTGAAGTGGGTATGTACGCTGATCATAAATGCGCTGTGACTGGATCATCCCAGTTGCAAAGACGCCCTCAAGTAAACCATTTTGAGTACGCCCACCTAATGCGCTCAACTACTTTTTGCTGTCGCTGCAGCCCACTCCTCACGTCAACAAGCTCATCTATCTCCACTAAGAAGTCGTGGAAGATGCGTCGTGGCAGGATGCCGCTCGCAGCCTGTCGCAGGAGATGCACTTCGCAGAGGAGGAGACCGTGGTCCTTGTAGGAAATTTCGCCGTCTTCTGTGGGTGTTGCGCTGGTAAGGATGCGATCGATGTTGCGCAGGATGAGCAGCATGCGGCCTTGCCTCGCCCACATCTGTACGCCTTTGCGGCTGCTGAAGACGCCTCGGAGGTATCGGTAGACGCCGATACTCACGAGAACACCAGGCGTCAGACCGATGAAGCCGAAGAGCAACTCCTGGCTCTTCAGAATGCTGTCAATACCGCTCATTGCGACCTCCACATCAACCTTGGTCTTCTGCACCTGGATGAGCAATGCGCTAGCTAGGTTACCGACTATCGCGCCCTTGACAGGACTTTGGATGTCCTTCTCGTAGGATCTCAAGACCGTGGTCAGATCGCCTTCGCGGACCTTCGCCCTAATATCGGCAATCTGAGTCTCGTTCAATGCAGGGCCTTCAGGATTCTTAACCGCAAAGTCAATGACCATGCGCTCAAGGCTGGCGCGGTCAGACTCCAGGCTGCGTTTGCTCATGATGGAAACCTCGCTATCTTCATTGTGACGGATGGTACCAATGATCCTCATAGCGGGCTCCACGACCCAATTTGTCCAGAAGTCGATTACAGTCTGTCCTAGTTCACGTACCCAGGCCAGGATCTCTTCTTTCCGGTTGACAAATATACGCAGGATAGTGGTGGAGGATACGAGGAGCATGGTGGCAGGTAGCCAATACCGGATGAGGATGGATGGACGTCCATTCTCCTTGACCACAGCGTTGAAGTCTGAGGTGTAGGCAGGCAATGCTTCCTGGAGCAGGTACTGAAGTCGCTCTGCTACATCCGCTGGCTTGAGTGTGGTTGCCGTTCGTTCTCCGGTGGGTTCATGCAGCGAATAGAGTTGATCATCTTGAGTAATACCAGCAACAGAATCGTCAAACTTATTGACGGATATCTCTGCAGCGTTCACGCTTTGGATGACTGCGTCCATGAGTGCGATGTTCTTAGCCATGACGCTCTTCCATCTATGTCCGCTTTGTGCGCCGAGCAGAGGGGGAGATTGGGTGCCATCGTCGTGTACACTGGGATGGTCAGCAGTCGCTCACGGTCTTCGCGGATGTTTGGTAGCATACCTCTCATTACCCAGCCCTTCGCCTAGAAGCACACCGAGCGCATTCGCATTGATGAGGCGTATCTTCCTCAACGCTGCGCGCTTTCTTCTGCCTTCATTCCTGACCAGCGCCAACGGGCTCACAACCCTTCGCTGGATGTTGGCAATGCTGCGCTCTTGCACCGCATCCTTGACAAGGCCATAAAACTGGCTCCACCCATCAGCCAACTGTCCGCCCCTCGACCGCACATCGCGATATATCTCCTGCGACCATTTCCACACCCGAACGGGCGATGTTTGTATCGAGTATAGCCCAGCGAATCGGTAGGTGGAGAGGATGTCGTCCCAGTACCACAGGTCATCTTCCAATGGTATAGTCTGTTCCAATATCGTATTCAGAACCTGTCCGTAGACCTGCGTCGTCGCCTTGCTGACTAGCAGCCATTCCAATTCATGTTCGTAGCTCGCATCCTCGTAGCTGCTGGCGATGTTGGCACGCTGCAGCGTCTCGGATATGCGTGCGATGGACACAAGGCTGTGTTTGGCTGACGCGGTCGTGGAGAGGGACTTGATGAGGTACTGCAGGTGCGCGATTCGTGTCGTCTTGGTGGGGTCGTGGGCTTCCTCGGCGGTGATGGAGAAGCTGCCTTGTCGTGTCGCCGACAGCTGCAGCCGGTCGAGCTGGCTGTCAATTCGACGCACTTGGCTGACACAGTATTAGCTTTATCGGGCTGTATCAATTGGATACGTCAACTTACTCAACCACGAAAGACATGGCTACCGGCGCGTGGGCGTTCACATGGAGGATACGGCGGGATTATTTTGGTACGAGGGGATCTGGAGATCTGAACCGGGATGACGCGCCCCCACCCGCCGCCAATGACGTTCTAGGCCTGCCATCAATCCATCACAGCCAGTTGCGCGCACTTTCCACGGCCTGTCACATGTTTCCTGCTCTTTAAGGCGAGCCAGCTACAAAATGCGGTGGTTGTACGTGACATGCTCCGACGTCTACCACTCGGTAAACCGGGGTAAACCTACACATCCGACACGAACATATACACGCCTTCTAAGGAATCAAGCTAATGCAATAGGACTTGAAGCCTAAATTGGTATTTGAGTGTATTTAACACGCCGTTCCCTTATCCGATGCCCAGCACTAATTCTAACAATGGTGCCTTCCACCGCGAGCAACTCCGCACAATAGTGAATCCACCATCGCTCGCAAATTTCTCTATGACGTCGCAGCAATTCTTCTATAACAACAAACAACTATAGCCAGACTATTGAGCGGCTGCAACCAGACCTGGCTGCTAGACGCTTCCGACGACCGTGCCACAATGCACTCGCAGCAACACCATCTCGAACAGGAAACTCGTCTCCGACCCAAGAACCAGTCTAGCGGTCTCCCCTAAAAGCAAACAAAGGCACAAAAAACGGCGTCCATCCAATTTCCACAGCCCGTCGGGTTCGAAACAGTGGTAGAGGTGCTAGCTAGCGACGCGAGCGCTCATTCGGACCGAGGGCTGATCTGCGACATCGTCCAAATCCGATTCCATGGAACGCAATTGCAAAGCGCTTGCCTCGTCGTCGGAGAGGCGGGCGCTCATTGGCTCCAGCACGGGACTTGCTGAACGGGAGAGATCAACTTGCGGCACAGTCAATCTGATACCGTTTGGCTGGTCAGGGGCTAGCAGGGTCCCCTCGTCCACAAGCGAGTCGCGCTTTCTGGGGAGCTTCTGGCGCATGCCTAGTTCGGAGCCTACGCGCTCGATGCTCTTGAAGTACTGCAGAGTGTTAGATGAGAACCAGAAGAGAAGGGTATCGATGAATGTACTTTGACGGTCTTGACTTGCAGTTCTAGGGTGGCGTCTTCGTCGACGACGATCATCGGGTGCGGGTGCATCTGGAGACTGGACAGCGTCCACATGTGATTCACGCCGCCTTCGATGCACCGCTGAAGAGCTAGGGCCTTGTGTGCGCCTGTGATGATGATCACAACTTCGCGCGCCTGAGGAACGTTAGACTCTGTTGATGGACATGTTGGTATGACTTACATCAAGGACAGTCTGCACGCCCACGGTCAACGCCATCTTCGGCACCTGATCGAGGTTGTTTCCGAAGAACCTTGAGTTGGCCAGAATGGTATCGTATGCAAGAGTCTTCACGCGGGTCCGAGACTTGAGGCTGGAACCAGGCTCGTTGAAGGCAATGTGTCCATCTGGCCCGATGCCGCCGAGGAACAGCTCGATGCCACCAGCACGTTGGATCTTCTCTTCGTAGTCATGGCATTCGACTTCCAGGTCAGGTGCGTTCCCGTTGAGGATATTGATGTTCTCGGGTTTCACGTCGACATGGGAGAAGAAGTGCTTATACATAAAGCTGTGGTAGCTCTCGGGGTGATCACGCGGGATGCCGACATACTCGTCCTGATTGGGTCAGCATCACTCTATATCACGCTGCTGTGAGACATTGGACGCAAGGGTGCGGCGCCATATGCAGGGCGGTAGTTCGTACCATATTAAACGTGACCACATTGCGGAAGGAGACTTGTCCCGCTTTGTGGCGCTGTACAAGATGCTCGTAGATCAGGACAGGGCTGCTCCCAGTAGGCAGACCTAAGACAAAAGGCCTTTCTGGCGTTGGGGCAAAGGTGTTGATGCGCTCTATGCTGCGGCGTCAGTCGATATTAAGACACAACAAAGGAGCGAGGAATGCACCAATGACATAGTCGGCGATGTATTGGGACGCAGCCCTCGGATCGTCTCGAATGATTAGCCGCCTAGAAGCGGTAAGCCGGGTGTCAGAAAACGAAGGTGTGCATGCTCATACATGATGTATGTATTGTTTGTGCCACTTGCAAGGACTGTGAGCGGAGTGAGGGGTCCAAGGTCATTCCTGTAGCGGGATGAGGGCGATTTCTATGAGGACTTCAACAGCTTCACGTCATTCTGGGGCAAGGTAGGATCGTGAGCTCGATCACCATCCAACGTCTCTTCATCGAAATGACAACGGCCAAACTTTCCGCATCTGAACACGTTCACTGCGGCGCTCTCTGTATCGGTCCGCATGGTCGCGGTGCGTCATGCAATGGACGGTTGAGGGTGAACGTAGTGGTACAACGCGCCTATCTGCACCACCTTGGGCCGTGGACCCCAGTCCACTGCCATGTGCAATGTTACAGGAGCATGGCGGGGCGTGGTCATCACCGTCGCGTGTGATAGCAGTGGGAACTTCGCCGGGCGTGGGCCGCAAACTAGCCGTCACGGGCAGCCAGCAACGAACATCACGATAGCAGGCGTCACTGATAAGGCCTTGGTGCTGATGGAGTCGCAAAAGGACAATGTTACATTTCTGACTCGGGTGGTGGCGGGCGGAGAGCGTTGCACTTGTGGCTCTAGTGGGCGTCTTCTAGCTCGCGCAGCCCACTCAGCCCAGGACCGGGGGCTCAACCAACAATGTGGTCGCAGGCGCATGCAGATCCATGCATCGTCGATAAGCAGGCCTGCAACGCCCCGCTTTGACCTTCGATGGCTGTCCCGAGAACCACTGACGACGGCCGTCCGGGCACCTGTAGCCGGCGCCCAAGGCTGCTGACGGCGTTGTACATACGGCTGGCGCTGCGGAACACGGATGCTTGTTGCCCTTTGTGCAGTGTCAGCCTGCGCCAGCGAATCCTTGACCGACGGCTGTCACCTTTGTGTGGGCTTGCAGTCGTTTATCTCTTTGTGGAGGCCAGGCTGTGTCGCGTGCTGTGTCCGCCTCGCTACCCCGATGCAGGTTGGCTGGGGAGATTTGGTCGTGAATGGACCGTGTGAGGACCCTAGCTGACGGTCTGCTTAAAACTGACTGCCCCTCGCCTTCACCTTCGTATCCAAACCCTCGTTTAATTATAGTCTGCTGCTACCGTCGTGTGGTCTGAGCGCGAGCATCTAGTATCTTTATTGTAGCCTGTCTGCTCTCACCTTCTGCATCAACGACGACGTGCACATCTCCGTCTGTCGCAAGGCTCACCTCCGAATCGCGCGCTAATCGCCGGCACAACACCCACACTCACGGGCATCAACATGGCGACCACCGAGGAAAAACAGCCTCCGCACGCGGTCAACTCTCCAGAGCACTCATTGACTGACACCAACTCAAATGAGCTCCCTGCCTCGTGGAAATACAGACGCTTCACCGTTCTCGGTTTCAAGCTGCCATGGTTCGCGTCACCACCCGTCCAGCTCGTCATTGTCTCCTTCGTCTGCTTCATGTGCCCGGGCATGTTCAATGCTCTGAACGGCATGGGTGGTGGCGGCCAACTTGACCCGACTGCCAACAACCGGGCCAACACGGCTTTGTACTCGACCTTTGCTGTTGTCGGCTTCTTCGCCGGCACCTTTACCAACAAGCTTGGCATTCGCACTGCTCTGTCTTTTGGAGGCGTCGGATACTCCATCTACGTTGCCTCGTACCTGTGTTATAACCACACTCAGAACTTGGGCTTCACTACCTTTGCCGGTGCACTTCTCGGTGTATGCGCTGGTCTGCTATGGTGCGCCCAGGGCGCCATCATGATGTCGTACGTAAATTGCCTATGTACGAACTGTATGTGAGACAAACACTGACTTCGTACACCCATCTCTAGGTACCCGCCAGAGGATTCCAAGGGCCGCTACATTTCGTGGTTCTGGATGATCTTCAACCTTGGCGCTGTTATCGGCAGTTTGGTATGTTTACTTTACTTTGAGACCCTGAGAAGTCTAGTTGAGAACTACACGCTAACTCTACCAGATTCCGCTGGGTCAGAACATCAACACCAAGACTGCGGGCACAGTTAACGACGGCACCTACGTCGGCTTCCTTGTCCTCACAATCCTCGGTGCTGCCCTCTCATGGACCCTGGTCGACGCGAAGGACGTCATTCGCGATGATGGATCCAAAGTCATCGTCATGAAGCACCCGTCGTGGAAGTCGGAGATCGTTGGTCTCTACCAAACCTTCTTCACCGACCCGTACATCATCCTTCTTTTCCCCATGTTCCTGGCATCCAACTGGTTCTACACCTACCACTTCACCGAGATCAACGCTGCATACTTCAACGTCCGCACCCGAGCGCTCAACGGCGTCGTTTACTACATCATGCAGATCGTTGGTGCCTATGTCTTTGGGTACGCGCTTGACATCAAGGGTGTCCGCCGTACCACTCGTGCTAAGGCTGCGTGGGGTGTGCTTTTCGCGACCATCATGATCATCTGGGGTTTCGGATACATGTTCCAGAAGACCTACGACCGCGCCTGGGCAGAGGACGAGACAAACCTGAAGAAGGACTGGTCTGACGCAGGTTACGCTGGCCCCTTTGTCCTCTACATGTTCTACGGATTTTCCGATGCCGCCTGGCAAACATCAGTCTACTGGTAAGTTCCTCAAGCACCAACATCTCTAGATCGTAATGCTAACAAACACCAGGTTCATGGGTGCCCTGACAAACAACAGCCGCAAGCTCGCCAACTTCGCTGGTTTCTACAAGGGTATCCAGTCGGCTGGAGGTGCCATCACATGGCGTTTGGACGACACCAAGATTCCCTTCATGACCATGTTTGCTAGCAACTGGGGACTCCTCGCGGGCAGTCTAGTCGTTGCTCTTCCGGTCATCCTCTGGAAGGTTGAGGACACTGTTGCGATCGAGAAGGACATCGCTTTCACCGATGAGACGGTCGCGGAAGTCGCCCCCAAGGCGGTTGTGCACTCAACGCCTGGTGACGCCGAGAAAGTCTAGTCAGGTCTTTGCACGGTTTTCATGATCGGGACTTCATGGGTAATGACGGTGTTCTTCAGCGGTACTTGTTAGTTTATGATACCTCGGCTTGAGTTGCATAGCGGGAATGTGGTCGTTTCATGATAGTGCTACGAACAGCAATTCCCGATGTTCCAAATGAATGAACATCTACTGTCATTATTCACATGCTCAAAGTTGATTGCTGGTGCAAGGGTATGCAGTGTGGATGTGGCACAGTCACGGCGTGGACGGCGTGGTACACAACAGCCGTTTCATCTCGCTGACATCCAACGAGAACCAACAAAGTACCGAGCGCCTGTTACCGAAGAATTTGGAGGACCAGTGGAATGCGCAGGGCGAGGTCAGCAACCTACGCCCCAACACAACCTGACACGTACGCGCCGCAAAGAACCCAATCCTCCTCCGAGACAATCCTTTGCCCTACACATCCCCCATCGTATCAAAACTGTCACGGGACTAACTCTACCGACAGCTGATAGCCCCTTCCAGACTACCAAGCCTTCCGATGCATCTGTCACCGAGCCGGACCGAGGTTGCCACTGCCCAGGACGCCTGATAATAGACCTGCTAGACCGCGACCCACGCCCTCTCCGGATACGATGTTTCAACGGGGCCTCACGAGTTCTCGAATCCACCCTCGCGGGATCGACATGCCGAGGAGAGCCACGAGGTAAGTGACGGTTACAACAGAGTCGTGCAGCAGGGGCGCTAGGTAGGTATGTGGTGTCATCTATTCCCGTGATGCTCGAGCAGCTATCATGCAGGAAGCCTAAGTGCGCTGAGTAAGCGCTATGTAGACTATCTTTAATGTTGAGCACTCTATTGGGGTTGAAAGTATTCAGAGACTCAACGGCCGCGAAGTTGCTAGTCAGATCTGATCGAGCCTTGGCACTAGACAGCGGGAGGCACGTGCTCTCCGCTCGTCATGCATCAAACGCCGTCTGGTCTTACTGGCTGCTCTGTTTGGAGCCCACGTGAAGCTCTGCGATGATCGCCACCGGCGCATAAAGCCTGCAATATGGTTGAATCATACCGCGGCTAAGTCGTCCACCGAAGTCCCATCGTAAACGCTTACGGCAGGATTCGCGTCCCAATGCCGCTAGTGGACGTCGCCGCCCAGCAGATGTAACCGTACCGTAGCAATGGCCGCTCGTCAAACTTCTACGAGACCCCACCAACCCTCGACATGCCAGCAACGCCATGTTTCCGCATATCCATCCAGCGTGCCTGGCGCCAGCGACACGCTGTTGACTGCCGCCCACCGCCAATGCATCAGGCCTTTGCGGCTTCCTTCCCTGTTTCCATTTCCCCTTTGGCCCCCGCGATCGCCCATACGTGCTTGCCTGCCGTGCCCCAGCAGCAGGCCTCGCATACCAGTCCCCGGAGCAATACCTAACTACGTTCGCTAGTGGATACAACCTCTTTGATGTTCTGACAAGCCATACAACTATGCTTAAGAGCCTTTTGCGACATCGGTTCACTAATGCTCCCGGCCCGCGTCTAGTCTCCGTTCACTACGACATTTTCAGACTTTGAACACTCTCGCTGGACATTTGCGATTTAATAGAGAGTCTACAAACAACATTCGTTCGCAAGTCATACCATCGTCACCGTCTGCCGGACTCCCCGTGCCCCTCCATGCCACCTCTTCGACTCAAGCGCAAGAGCGGCCGCGTCACCCTCGTTCCAGAGTCAAACAACTCTCGTGACTTGCATCAAGCTTCAATCGAAAACAACA